GGGTTTTAGTCCCCTTTTTTTTATTTGGGTATTTAAATTTTTAATTGGGGGCCGGCCCCCTCCTTTTTTTTGTGAAATTGAAAAACCCCTAAAAGGTAATTTTTTATTTTTTCCCCCCGGTTCTCCCGGTCCCTTTTGTTCCTTTTCCTTTCATTGTAAACCCTTTTTGGGCCCCCCCAACCCCTTTGGGTTTTAAAAAACTGCCTTTCCCCATTTTTCTCCGGGTTTTCCCTTGGGCCCTTTTTCCTTTCCTCCTTTTTTTTCTCAAAACCCCCTTTTTTTAACTGTTTTCCCCCCTTTTCCCCCCCTTTTTCCCTTTAATTTTGTATGGGTGGGGTTTTCTGTTATATTCCCTTTTTGGGGGTTTTTTGTTTTAATTGGGTTTAAAAAAAGGGGTTGCTATTTTAAAGTTTTGGGAAAACTTTTTCCCCTTTGGATTTTTTTTTTTTTCGATTTGCCACTCCTTTTCCCCCATTTTAAAACCTTTTTTTGGGTTTTTTTTTTTTCCCCTTTGGCCCCCCGGGTTAATTTTTTTTTTTCCATTTTTTTTCCTTTTTTTTTTGCCCTTTTTGCAATACCACAACCCCCCCTTTCCCCTTCTTTTCCCCTTTTTTAAGGAAACCCCCTTTTTTTCTGGGGGAACGGGGTATTTTTTGGGGTTTTTTTTTGGAAATTTTTTTTGGGGGAAAACCCTGTTTTGGTTGGGGGTTTGGGGGGGTGGGGGGCTGTGTTGTTTGGGGTGTGTTGTGTGGGCCTTTTTTGGGGGTTTTGTGTGTGGGGCTTTTTGTGGTTGGGGTGTGTTGTGTGGGGGTTTTTGTGTTTGGGGTTGTGTGGTGGGGGTTGTGCGTTTGGGGGTTTTGCCCGTGGGGTTTGGGTTGGGGGTTGCGTTTGGGGGTTTTGTGCGTGGTGTTGTGTGCATGGGGGTGTGTGTGTGTGTGTGTGTGTGTGTGTGTGGTGTGGTGTGGTGTGTGTGTTTTGTGTGTGTGTTTTGTGTGTGTGTTGGGGTGTGTGCGGTTTCATGTGTGTGTGTGATGTGTGTGTGTGTGTTGTGGGGTGTGTGTGTGTGGGTGTGTTTTGTGTGGGGGGTGTGTGTGTGGTGTGTGTGTGTTGTGTGTGTGTGTTGTTTTTTATGTGTGTATTGTGTGTTTGTGTGGATTGTGGTATTGTGTGTATTGTTGTAATTGTGTTTTATTGTGTGTATTGTGTGTATTGTTTTGTATTGGGTTTGTGTGTATTGTGTGTTTGTGTGTATTGTGTGTATTGTGTGTGTGGTGTTTTTGTGTTAAAAAATCTCAGTTTGTGCCACTTTAGAGATTATACTTTATTAAATTTTCTTTTGGTTTTAAATTTGTTAATAATAGTGATTAGGGGCTACCTGGAGGGGATTCGGGGATAACACCCCCACGGGCCCGTCCAAAAAAAGGCCTCCTGGTGAATCAGGGCCTGAATTTAAAACCCGGGTGTTATTTCTGTCTGCACATAGTCCCAAAGTACGAACCACAGCCCCGGTGGGTCCAAAACTGACTTTTAAATATCTGTCCGCTTCTCTTGAAGGCAGCCAGGGGGCCCCATTGGGGAAATTCCCCCTTTTGCATGGTGGGAGGTTGGTGAACAGTCTTAGGCCCCAGGCATTAGGGTGTTTTTCCCTTTGTGTACCAAAAGGCCCCTCCCACTTTTTATTGGGGGTATTTTGCATAGCCTGCCCAGTCTTTTACTTTCGTAGGGAGTGAGTTTTGTGTTCAGATTCGGGCCCTTCTTTTAGGATTTCCAAGTGTAGATTATGAAAAATTCCCCTCTTCGCCTATGTTTCAAGTGAGTACAAGTAAATCTTCCCAAACTTTCCCAGTATTGAGGCATTTGATGGAACTCATTTTGTTCAGTAAAAAAGGGTTTTTGTACATTCTTAAATCTGCAATTTCACCTTTGAATGGAAATGTTAAAAGTTTGCAATATTTCCCGCCTAGAGGAAAAAATTTTTTGAAAAAGGTTCCCCATTGGCTTGGAATTTTTATTTTTTAAAAGTTTCATTATCCATCCAATCTTTTTTTTGCAGTTTTGATCATGGCCCTATTGTTATCCCTTTAAAGTGAGATCCTCGACATTTTCCCCTCCCAAAGGGCCCCTTTACTTATTTTTCCACCTTTTATTATGTCAGTTTGGTTTGTATGCATTTCTAGTTATTTTTCCCCCAGTTTTTCCCCCATGGAGTAGTTGGAATTTGTCTTTTACTGAACATTTATTGTTTTTTCCCTTTTCCCATTGGGGAAAAATTGCTTCATTTTTCTTGGAGGTTAACCTGTTTCAAAAAATGACAGTCTCATGCAAGATCCCGGGATCATCTGCAAAGGATGACCGGGGTTTTGTGGTTACATTTGTTCATGTTTTTATATGGGGATGAAGAAAAACCCCCCCGGCGGGGGGCGAAATACTGTTTCCTTTTGGAAAAGAGCTTTTTACATGGAGATTCGATTTAAAATTTTTTTGGGGGACCATACTTGTGTTCGATTGGTTGAAAAATTTAAGATGCATCTCCCCAACTTTGCCAATTATTCCTTTTGCAATATTTTGGCCAAAATTACAACCCTTTATTGGACCCTTTTCAAAAGGGTTTTGCAAATTTTTGTATTTACATCTGCATTCTGTTTTTCTTTCCCGTGCATCCAAAACTTATCTAGTGAATTCCCGGGAGTACGGGGAGAGGAAAGGGGTTGGGCCCCGGGTCTGAAAATTTTTCGCCCTGGATTGTGCAGTTTTTTGGGGGTTCAAGTGGTTTCCCAATTTAAGGGTTCTTTGACTTTTTCAAAATTTTTTTTGATGTGGGAATTTTTTGCTTTGGTCTTTAATTCTTTGCTAATGCTTTTCGCCCCCTTTATGGAGTGGGGCTATATCCGTTGTTTTTAGTGACTGGAATTTCACCCATGTCTAAGCTCCTTCTCCATAGTATACTTAGGGCACACGAAAGGGGTTTCTTGCAGTCCTTAATGAACACAGAGTTCCACGAGTCTGGGCCTGGGGCTGAGTGCATGGGCATGTTGTCAATGGCTTTCTCAAAGTCTATCGGAGTTATGGTAATCTCGGAAATCTGGCATACACTGATGGAGTTTTGAGGCTCATCCATGAAAAAATAATTTGGACTGTCGATCTTTAGACTGATTAGTGGCTCTTTAAACAGTGTCGTATTGGGACTTCAGTATCTCACTCATTTCTTTGTTGTCATCTGTGTAAGTCCCATATTGTCTGGTATTTGCCTAGTTTTTGGCACATGAAAAGAAATATTTCAAATTTCTTTCAATTTCACTAATCACTTTTAGCTCCTCCTGTTTCTCCTGGATCCTGTAATAGTCCTTTAACTTAAGTTCAATACTTTCCACTTCCCTGGTCAGCGTTTCCTTCTGCGTATCAGATAATCTAACGTTCTTGAGTAGCTCAGTGATTCTTCATCGTTTTCTGTAGAGGGAGCATCTCTCTCTCACCAGTGTACTTCTTCTCTTCTTCTTTCTTAGGGAAATATGCCTTGAACATACTTCAGCTGCCAGGAAGTTGATCCCTTCAAGGAACTGGTTTGAATCCATGTTATTTAAGATACCTTCCCAACATGTTTCATTTAAGACATGGTTTACCCGGTCCCAGTTGATGTTCCTGTTGTTTAAGTTGAATTTGGCGAAGACACCTTCACAGCTACCTGCATTTTGTTGATCAGAACCCCAGTGCATGTAAGCCTGAACTTCAATTAGATTGTGATCGGAATTAGTTGTTCTTGATATTACCTATGTCTCTTACCATGTCCTCATTATGTATTTGTGAAGATAAGGTCAAGTGTGTTTTCCAGTCTTGTTGGCTCCACTATCTGCTGACTTAGGGTGTGTTTATTGAAGATATTTAGTAGCTCATGTTTATGTGACTTTTCATCTGCACTGCCTCCAGGGATTATTTCTGCTATATTATTTGCTACATTCTTCCATTTTGTATATACAGCCTTAGGTTGAAATCACCAAGCAGTAAGATGTTTGGGGATGGGGCTGGAAGGTTTTCCAGACAGTAATAAATTTTCAGTAGCTGTTCCTTAAACTGCTGGAAAGTTGCATTTGGTGGCTTATATACAACCACGAATACTAGGTTCTGGTTCTCGAGTTTTAATGTTAGAACTTCAACTACATCATTTGTGGTGTTCAGCATCTCTGTGCAGATGAGCGACTCTGACATACATGTCAACCCCCCCTTGTTGCCTGTTCTTTCTGTCACATCTAAAAAGGTTGTACCTATTTATCCATATTTCATTGTCAAAGTGATCTTTTGTGTGGGTCTCTGTGAAGGCTGCATGAACTGGCAGCAAAGACTCCAATGTAATCGATGCTCCTTAAACTTAACTAATTGACCTAATCTGAGCACAAGCCTACTAACCTTCCTCCTTATCTATCTTTATATAATATTAGAATATTTTATATACTGGCATATCAATCATTAAAATTTTAAAATATAAATAACCTGATATATTTTATTTAAAAAGTAAACATTTTTAACAAGCATGAAATAGAATGTACAGAAATAAGTAACTGTTGAGCATTTCCCAATCATCTCCACTTTTTTTTCTCACTTTGGCATATTTAGTTTATAATGCACCTGCATCATTAATTAAAACTGAAAAATATGAGAAGCAGCCTAAAATGTTTTAATAAAAGTAGAATAACAATCAGTCTAGGGAGCCTATAATGCATCCCTCGATTACAATGTTGCCAAATTTATTTGCTCGGCTTTCTTACGAATAACACATCATTCTTGCAAAGCCAAGGAAGTGGGTACGAATAAAATTTGTAACCAACAACCAGTGATAGACATTTTATTTTAAAAATTATAAAATTAAATGTCTATCAGTATTCAAAACAATTCAGGTGAATCTGTACACCAAGAATTAAACAACTGTATTCCACACAACTGAAATTATAATGTTGCATTCTTACCTGAACCACAAGAGTGATAGGTGACCTTAATATATTACTTACCTGAGCAAATCATCCAATTAGCAGAGCTTGAAGTTAGTTTTTATACCATCTGGACCTGTGATAAAGTATTTACTAGTACAGTGCTTCAACTACTTTGAAGAAGGTGTATTTGGACTACATTGTGACGCAGACTTGAAGATCTCAAAATCACCGTTTGTTTAATCAATCACTTAACTTGTCAGAACATTTTCAGCTAAATACTAGTCCTATTACTTAACATAATTTAAGCTACTTTACAGTGAGGATTCTTTTTATGTTAGTAGCAAATTAGTTTCCATTAACATTATATAAAACATGGTTCATCAAGGTAACAAGAGCAGGAATGTGAAAATAGGTGATAATCTTTATAGAAATGGGTGAAATCACAGACATAAATCTTCTAGAAAAGAGGGTTATAAGTTAGTACAATAAAAAAAAAAAAAGCAAGAAAAAAAAAAAAAAAAAAAAAAAGCAAATAGAGAATTTAGGTAGGTCTGAGTGCAGGATAAAGTACTTAAAGAGAAACAGGAAAAAATGCAGGAAGGATATTAAAAAACTTATGTCACTACACAGATAGGTAAGTTCTTATTGTACTTAGGTCTTACTTTAATAATACCTGTACTCCCATTACAAAAATATCTGTCCAGTACTTTTCTATCTTATCAAGTACAGTGGAACCTCAAATATCGAACTGTTCCCAGCTCAACCAATTATGTAAGTATATTTTTGTAAGTGTTTTTATAAGTGTATTTTTGAGGGTCTAAAATGAACTAATCTAATTTACATTATTCTTGATGGGAATAAATTCATTCGGTAACGGCACTCGAACAGCCGTCTGGAACTAAGAAAGTTCGATATTTGAGGTTCCACTGTATTCCTCTTCTGCTTCTTAATTCAATGTGTTTGTATTATCCTACCAACATGTCCACCTGCTGAGGTTACCCTTATTATTTCAAAGAACATTTCTTACTCTAACCCTTTGACTGTTTCAGTCTTTTTTTTTTTTTTTTAACAAGTCGGCCGTCTCCTACCGAGGCAGGGTGACCCAAAAAGAAAGAAAATCCCCAAAAACAAAATACTTTCATCATCATTCAACACTTTCACCTCACTCACACATAATCACTGTTTTTGCAGAGGTGCTCAGAACACAACAGTTTAGAAGCATATACGTATAAAGATACACGACATATCCCTCCAAACTGCTAATATCCCGAACCCCTCCTTTAGAGTGCAGGCACTGTACTTCCCATTTCCAGGACTCAAGTCCAGCTATATAAAAATAACCGGTTTCCCTGAATCCCTTCACTAAATATTACCCTGCTCACACTCCAACAGATCGTCAGGTCCCAAATACCATTCGTCTCCATTCACTCCTATAGAACACGCTCATGCACGCCTGCTGGAAGTCCAAGCCCCTCGCCCATATATATATATATATTATATATATATATATATATATATATATATATATTATATATATATATATATATATATATATATATATATATATATATATATATATAATATATATATATATATATATATATATATATATATATATATACGTTTTACGAGCCATAGTGACCGTTTTATTTAATTAAAATGCTGAATTTGTGGTCTATTTTCGTATAGTATTTATGGTTGTACTCTCATTTTATTGGTCTCAGTTGATAGAATGGAAACATATTATAGAAACAGAAGTGATTTTGATTGGTTTTACTATGAAAAGAACCTTGAAATGGAGCTCAAAGTAGGGGAAATGTTTGATTTTTACCGATGTTCAAAAGTAAACAAATGATGTCATTTTCCAATGAATGTCCAACTAGCCATTCTAATATGCAGTCATGAATGGGTTGACATTATTTATACAATTGTTACAATATTGCAGTAGGCTGCATAACAGTAAATCTTCTATTTTTTGTTTGAATAAAAAATCAAAATATAAAGCAACAGTAATATCAGAGGGGCCTGGAGACATGACTGATGAACAAAGAAAATGTTATTTTAGAGCCAGGAATGTCTGCATTGTTCATTCTGAACCCTATTTTGAAACTGTCATATTTTTTAATTTTCATGAAATTGGCCAAGTTACAAATTTCTGCTCTGACCATGTTACTGGATAGTTGAAATCAGTAACTGGGCAGTTTCTTGTACTCAATCGATGGAAAAAATGGAGTTCCAATGAAATAGCTATGAGTTTGGTCAACCGGAAGAATGGAATTAGCAAAAAATGAGGCTCAAAGTGGGCAAAATCGCCGATTCGTAAATATCGCCGAGGTCACTAATTTCACAAGAGAGCAATTCCGTCAGTTTTCCATCAAATTTTGTTCTTTTGGTGTCATTACAATCGGGAAAAGATTCCCTATCATTTCAAAAGATTAGGAGGGGGGGTTGTGACACCAGGAGACACCTCAGGATTTGGGGTTGCAACAGTCAAGGGGTTAAACAAGTTTTGACTTTTTAGTGTAACAACACTGAAGCATGGGAATTACACATGCTGATTTGGATCAAGTGAAACTACAGCACTTTTAACATTTAAAAAATTGGTTTTCAGGTGTAAAACAAATTTTTCTTAGTGATAAACCAAAGAGCCAAAAAATAAATTATTTAACAGGTACAATGACTGATAACTCAAACTGCACTTGCAAATTACAAGGTATTGCTAGTAATACTGAACATAGTAGCATATTGTAAGTCTTAAGAAAAGACCACTGCAGCCATATTGCAAGCAAAGAACACTGTGCAAGCATTATACATATATATGCATGTATGTATGTATGTTAAGAAAATATATATATATATACGGATATACTTCTAAACTGTTGTATTCTGAGCACCTCTGCAAAAACAGTGATGGTGTGTGAGTGAGGTGAAAGTGTTGGCCGTCTCCCACTGAGGCAGGGTGACCCTAAAAGAAAGAAAATCCTACAAAAGAAAATACTTTCATCATCATTCAACACTTTCATCTCACACATAATCACCATTTTTGAAGAGGTGCCCAGAATACAACAGTTTAGAAGCATATACGTATAAAGATACACAACATATCCCTCGAAACTGCTAATATCCCAAACCCCTCCTTTAAAGTGCAGGCATTGTACTTCCCATTTCCAGGACTCAAGTCTCGCTATATAAAAATAACCGGTTTCCCTGAATCCCTTCACTAAATATTACCCTGCTCACACTCCAACAGATCGTCAGGTCCCAAATACCATTCGTCTCCATTCACTCCTATCGAACACGCTCCTGCAAGCCTGCTGGAAGTCCAAGCCCCTCGCCCACAAAACCTCCCTTACCCCTTCCTTCCAACCTTTATGAGGACGACCCCTACCCCACCTTCATTCTCCTAGAGATTTAAATGCTCTCCATGTCATTCTACTTTGATCCATTCTCTCTAAATGACCAAACCACCTCAACAACCCCTCTTCAGCCCTCTGACTAATACTTATATTAACTCCACATCTCCTAATTTCCATACTCCGAATTTTCTGCATAATATTTACACCACACAATGCCCATAGACAGGACATCTCCACTGCCTCCTCGCTGCTGCATTCACAACCCAAGCTTCACACCCATATAAGTGTGTTGGTACTCCTATACTTTCATACATTCCCTTCTTTGCCTCCATAGATAACATTTTTTGACTCCACATATACCTCAATGCACCACTCACCTTTTTTTCTTCATCAATTCTATGATTAACCTCATCCTTCATAAATCCATCCGCCGACACGTCAACTCCCAAGTACAGTGGACCCCCACATAACGATCACCTCCGAATGCGACCAATTATGTAAGTGTATTTATGTAAGTGCGTTTGTACGTGTATGTTTGGGGGTCTGAAATGGACTAATCTACTTCACAATATTCCTTATGGGAACAAATTCGGTCAGTACTGGCACCTGAACATACTTCTGGAGTGAAAAAATATCGTTAACCGGGGGTCCACTGTATCTGAAAACATTCACTTCTTCCATACTCCGTCTCCCCAATTTGATACCCAATTTTTCTTTATCTAAATCATTTGATTTCCTCACCACCTTACTCTTTTCTATGTTCACTTTCAACTTTCTACCTTTACACACACTACCAAACTCATCCACTAACCTTTGCAATTTTTCTTTAGAATCTCCCATAAGCACAGTATCATCAGCAAAAAAGTAACTGTGTCAATTCCCATTTTGTATTTGATTTCCCATAATTTAATCCCAACCCTCTCCCGAACACCCTAGCATTTACTTCTTTTACAACCCCATCTATAAATATATTAAACAACCATGGTGACATTACACATCCCTGTCTAAGACCTACTTTTACCGGGAAGTAGTCTCCCTCTCTTCTACACACCCTAACCTGAGCCTCACTATCCTCACAAAAACTCTTTACAGCATTTAGTAACTTACCACCTATTCCATATACTTGCAACATCTGCCACATTGCTCCCCAATCCACTCTATCATATTTTTGTTATTTTTATTATTATCACACTGGCCGATTCCCACCAAGGCAGGGTGGCCCGAAAAAGAAAAAATTTCACCATCATTCACTCCATCACTGTCTTGCCAGAAGGGTGCTTTACACTACAGTTTAAACTGCAACATTAACACCCCTCCTTCAGAGTGCAGGCACTGTACTTCCCATCTCCAGGACTCAAGTCCGGCCTGCCGGTTTCCCTGAACCTTCATAAATGTTACTTTGCACACACTCCAACAGCACGTCAAGTATTAAAAACCATTTGTCTCCATTCACTCCTATCAAACACGCTCACGCATGCCTGCTGGAAGTCCAAGCCCCTCGCACACAAAACCTCCTTTACCCCCTCCCTCCAACCTTTCCTAGGCCGACCCCTACCCCGCCTTCCTTCCACTACAGACTGATACACTCTTGAAGTCACTCTGTTTCGCTCCATTCTCTCAACATGTCCGAACCACCTTAACAACCCTTCCTCAGCCCTCTGGACAACAGTTTTGGTAATCCCGCACCTCCTCCTAACTTCCATACTACGAATTCTCTGCAATATATTCACATCACACATTGCCCTCAGACATGACATCTCCACTGCCTCCAGCCTTCTCCTCGCTGCAACATTCATCACCCACGCTTATAAGACTCCTAAGTGCACCACTCACCCTTTT